ATTGTAGAGGATTCTTAAAGCAAATGTACTTCACAGGGTCTGGTTTTCCAAAGCCTTGCAGTTTCAAATATTGACCTTGTGGAGGACTGAAAATTTTCCTTAGGCTATAAAGTCTCTGGTGTAAGATAAAGATTTGTGGCACAGCAAGGTTGCTGGCTCAAGGACAGACTAGTTACTGATTGTTATGTAAAGATACTGAGAAATCGCTGTAAGATCACTTAATTGTCTAATGGAATGTCATGTGACTTGTTTCACTGAAAGTTACCAGCCTATATTGTTAAACTATAACCTCACCTATGTTCTCTTTCTGTAACTTCCTGGTCTGGAAAATAAATGCAGGAAGAGAACCCCAATTCAGGGTTAATTTCCCAATGAAGGGATGCCTCTCACTTGAGGGTTCCAGTGGGAGATTAACCACTTCAGGGTCTCTCACTTCTCAGAGGAGATGGGCTTTGAGTAATCCTTTGCAGATCCGTCACCCAGGGGAAGTGGGGTGACAAATCTGTGGGGGGCAAAGCAACAAAAAATCACATCTAATTTTAATTCATGACACATAAATGTCTGCATGAAGGAATTGGTTCAGAGTTTCAATCCAGAGCTGGTCCTGGGCCACTACTTGTAATTCAATATTTTCCTACCTTTATTGTTAGGATGAAAGAGTCTCATAGGTGCCAATATATTTTAAAGGTGACAAGTTTTCCATATGTGCTAGGTGTTAAAGTTGTGATTGTTCCTTTCTATTCCATTTTCCCCCCAAGTCCACTCATACCTGAATACTCTTGATTCAGGCCAATTGATGATTGGCCACAAGGAAAGGATACTAAAACTTTGATTGGTTATTTCAAAGTTCCACAGATTAATCCTCAGGTCATCAGCAGACATGTAGGTTTCATAGTCACTGTTGACTGATATGGAGTTGATGTGATATGTGTGTGCGTTGGCAAATACTCTTCGCGGGGTGGCCTCCACCATCAGGTCCATGGGTCTCAGGACAGGCACCTGGAAGGCAAGAAAAACAAATTCAGAACCAGAGCTCTTCCCTAGGAAAAGACTGTGTGTGTTTATATCCTTTATTATCACATGCACATCCCAACTACACCAAAGAAGCTCCAAGTTAGAGAAAGGAGGAGACTGATAACGAATCACACTGAGTTCCTGTTCCCTTCTGTTCCTTTTAACTTTACTCCTGTCTCAAAAGATATCACTATCCCTTAGCCCTGATAAGGAATTTCATCCTTTACAAATTGTAAACTTTCCCCCAGGCCCCCCAGGTGGCCTCATCTCAGGGAAACTTGGATTCCACTGCAGGGTCATTATTTTCCAGAGCTGCTATTCCAGTTTTTTTTTTCTCTTTCAAATATGAAATCTATTTAGAGAAGGAAGTTGTGGAAACATTTTAGAAATGTCTAGTTCAACTTTAATCTAAGTTTATCCTTCATGTCTTTTTATCTCATGGCTTTGGAGGCCTCCACTGCATCCTGGCTTTGTCCTCAATCCTTAACGGCATTTTGGAAAAATGTACAATCACCCAAGACTCTAACAGCTCAAATTCAGCTGTTAATATATAGGGCATCCGTTGACATACGGGTTGACCTGGTTTATACCAGTTGTCTTAGAGTACCAACCAGGTATGTCCACTTTCACATTCAGAACTGTCCCAGTCTGGTCATTAACTATGTGGTCACTTTACTGAAATATAAAAAGTTCTTGATAAGTATTCGTTGAATGAATGAGACTATGTGAGTTAAGGTTTTCTTTCTGGCAGATCGGAGAATCGGACAGTTAAATAGTTTCAAATGCATGAATCTCTATCTGGAAAATATGAACAAGTAACCATCACTTCTGGCTGCATTTTTGAATTCTGGGTGGACTGGCTCCTAAGAAAGTAAGAATACAAAGGCCTGAGAGGGGACAGACAAAAAGAAAAATAAAAGCAAAACCAAACATCACACAACACAGGTGCAGTCCCTTAATAAAAGCAAGGAAATAAAAGGACCAAAAGCTATTTTCTTTTCAAGCAAATCATCTCTTGCAACCGATCCCAGACTGATTTGATACCAGGTGGTAGATAAAGACTTCAGCTTTCGGATTGGTTTCAACCCAGGTGGTAAGGAGAAGGAGGTAAAAACAAAGGTCAAATTTTGTGAAGTGCAGTCACCTCAATAATACAACCTTTCAGAAAACAGAATTATCCCAGCTCAGTCTTGAGGGAATTTTGCTCACCTTTGAGGGAGTTTTTTTTTTTTTTAATTAAATGAATGATTCAGAGGAAACATAGAGTTCTAGACAGATGTGATGCTGGGTCTCCCGGGAACCAGAGGTGGCTTGAGATGAGAATGAAGGAAGAATCAGGGGAATACCAGGAAAGGGAAGCGAGGAAAAGCCTTTGTGGTCCCCCACCCCAGTGATGGGTAACGGGTCTGTAGCACAAGCCTGGGGATGGCAGGACTGGGAGACCTGGGTTCTGATCACAGATTCACCACCAACTGCCAGGCTGTGAGACCCTAGGCAACTAACCTGCTCTTCCTGAGCTCTGGTCACACTATCTGAAAAACAGTGGCCCAAACCGCTCTGCCCTCATTATCATGAAGGGTGGTTTTGGGGATTTGTTGAGATCATTTGCCCTCCAGTTTACCCTCCCATTCACTTTTTCAGCAACATTTCTAATACAGTCCAGGGGGGCTCAGCTGGAGAAAAAAACCAAACACAGGTCCTGCCATCAAATAGTGGATACAGATGAGGGAGACAGACAGATGTGAATTATATCATCTCATAATGAAATGCGGTAAGTGCCCCAAAGAGGATTGAGTGCCAAGGGAGATTTAACCTGGTCATGGAGATCTGGAGAGGCTTTCCAGAGAACGTATCAATGAGTTGGTATGTGAAGAATGAGTAGGGGTTTAACAAGGCCAGGAGAGGAGGGAAGAATGCTCCAGTAAGAGAAATAGCATGTGCAAAGGTCCTGTGGCATGGTGGGGGGGGGTGAGACAGGCAAGAGTGAAGGACCAATAGGTCAGTGTAGCTGAGACAGAGATAGTGACGGGAACTATTGTGGGAGATGAGGTGACAGGGTAGGTAGAAGGCAAGAACGAATTTTACCATTATCCCAAGAGAAATAGAAAAAAATGAAAAGATTTGCAATGACTGATATGATCAAGTTCAAGTTTTGATCAGATCACTCCAGATGCAGAATGGAGAATAAGTTAGAGGACTAACAAGGTAGAATTTTTAAAGGGATGGTGAGAAACTATTGAATACCAATTAAGGGCATACCTGAGTTACAGCTTTGTAATGAAAAGAAAGGTGATTTTGCCCTTAGGAACTATCCTGAAATATTTATTGGGCATTTACTCTATATCAAGCATTCTGCATACAGCAACTGTGTGAAATAGGTACTAATACAAAGTACTATTATAGAGAAAACTCAGGTGCAGAGAGGCTGTCACTGGCCTGGGGTCACCCAGCTCTAGGAGGCATAGGCAGGACTTGAACCCATGGTCCACCCAACTGCAAAGCTAGTATTCTTTCCACAGTACCATGCCACACTGAAATATCATACAGGATAGGAAGTGATAAATGCTTTGCAAGTGACAATAGTGAATTGCCAGGAGAATGTATGGAATAAATAGTACTATTGGTAGCAATAATAGCAGTGGTAGTCATGGTAGAGCTGTGGTTAAGAAGCCTCAATTAGATGTTGCAAGCATTCATGAACAGGGTGTCTATTCTGGTGCTTTCAGAAACATGTGCCATGCTTTTACAGTTTCTCAGAAAGGACCTTTCCAACCAGAGCTTGAAACGGAATCAGCAAGCCTTCCCACGACTCCTCCTAAACTCCCCCAGAACTCCTTCATTACTGCACATCTTCTGCAGAGGTTTTCAGTGGCTGCGGTGACATGGAAGGCAGTGTGACAGCCAGGATCAAGAGAGGCATTACAATGGGGGAGCCGCCAGCCCAGAGCTTCAGCTGATGTGACCAGCCCACTGCTAATTCAGGCTGACATGTTCCATGATGTTCCACTTAGTGGGGAAGGGCTCCACGTAGGTCTCTGGGGATGGGGCCTCTGATGCTTTGTCCAGATAAGGTGGGGTGGGGGAGGGGCTGAATGTCACTCACGGTATCCTAATATCAGTCCTGGGCCTAGATAAAGGCTTGTCTGCTGCCCAGTGATTCCCCTTATGAGAAGAAAGAGGGAAGTTTGGCAGGTCAAGCTGGACAGCATGGACCGATTAGGGAACCATGGTGGGGCTGTGTTTCCCATCTGCTCTGGCCATGTGCTCCTTTTGGGGCCAGGCGGGGAGAAGAATTGGACACCGTCCCCTGAGTTAGGACCCCAGGCAATCGTTAGGGCTTTCTTGGGAAAACATTCATGGAGAGCTTCCCATCCTTGTTCCACAGTATGTGTTTAGAGCCCCCCACCCCGGCCCCACCTTACTCCACGGCATTATCTCATTCCGCCCTCTCGGCAGCCAATCTTGCAAGGAAGAGTCTTCTGCTGGCCCCATTCTACAGGTAAAATCCTGTCGAATGCCATACTGAGAATAGGCTGAGGAGTTGGGATCTGACCCAGGCAATATGGTTACCGAGTGAGCACACTCAGCCACTGTTGCAAACAAAACTATTATACTGAAACATGAAACGGCCAGTTTTGCATGTCAAAAATTATCAAATATCACTAATTTCATGTGGTTCAGCCTATCACTTTGGAAAGACTCTGCTGTACAGATGTGACACTGAAACAAGGAACATTGGCTTGGAAGGGTCCTTAGAGCCTCTTCCTGGGCCATCGCCTGTGCATGTGTGGTGGGGGGAGGCGGGGTGGACACAGAGGGTGGCCATGGTGTCTAGGCCTCACCCGCTTCGTGACTCTTGGTAATATACGCTTGGATTCTCAATAATAATCCTGCTTAAAGAACTGTTTCTGTGGATAAGGGAAGTTTGAAAACAAATAGCCTGGGACGTTCCTGAAATCTGCAGTGAGGAAATTGAGAGGCGAGAGGTGAAGCGCCCTGTCCCTGGTCATCCTGTAACGGGTCCCCCATCTGTCTGAGCCATTCTCCACAGGAACAGAGCCCCCTTGTTGCCAAAGACAAAACCAGAACCAGACAAAATCCAGGATCAGTCCGGGACCTTTTAATTCAGTCCAAAGCCTCTAGTCCAAGCCATCTTGGCAGAGTCATTGATGAGGCTAGAATCAACTCTGAGACAAGGGTGGGGCTTGTGGACAGGGCCAGTCCTCAGCCGTCAGTGGTGGTTTTGGATTGGGCTGCTGGAATTCAGTGATGTCCCTCCCTAAGGTGTCCCTTTCCCCCCTGATCTTGATTCAGTTTCAGCTCATACTCTTGATGCTGATTCCAAAGGACAAGCACCCCTGCCCTGTGTCTTGCCTGTACACCTGGCATCATGCTAGAACTTCAACTGAATAATATCCTGGAGCCCAAAAGGGCAGCCGAGCAGTCTAACCTGCAATAAAGCGTGCAGAGATACATTTCAGTAGTGCTAGTACTGGGATGCTCTTCCCCTCCCAGGACCTACATGGCTCCCTCCCTCATCTGGGTCACTGCTCAAATGTCACCCCCTTGGAGTGGCCTTCCACAACCACCCCACCTCAGCATACCTTGCATTCTATCCTCTTACCCAACTGACTGCTTAGAATGCTTTAAACTCTTATGTAATTCATCAGTGAATTCTCATCACTATCCTGTGATTCAGCTTGCTAGATATTATGATCGCTATTGCACAGATGAGGTAGCTGAGGCACAGAAAGGTTAAGTGATTTGTCTAAAGTCACACAGCTAGTCTGAGGCAGAGCAAGTACTCATGTCTGGCATTCCTTGATTCAGGAGTCTAAGCCCTTAGTCACTCCAAATTCCAGGCCCCGGAAAAACACACTCAGTCCCCAAGCACACACTTGGGAGAGACAGGTAAAGAGACATTTCATGAGGCAGATCATGCTGTCAGGGAGGTCAGTAGGCACTGTCCAGGTACTAACAACCGA